CGGCCCCCGTCCAGCTTTTCATCCACCAGCACCCCTAAGTCCCTCTCGGCAGAGCTGCTCTCCATCCTTTCTTCCCCCAGCCTGTACTGATACCGGGGGTTGCCCCGACCTAGGTGCAGGACCTTGCCTTTGGCCTTGTTGAACCTCATGAGGTTCACACAGGCCCACCTCTCCAGCCTGTCCAGGTCTCTCTGGATGACCTCCCGTCCTTCTGGTGTGTCAACTATGCAGTTATATTTCAGTTGCTGTAGTGCTTCTGGTTATTAGAAAGGTGAATTTGACAAGTGTGGACAAGGTGATGGTAAATCAAGGGAAAAGAAAAAAAATCTTCTCACCAAGGATAATTTAAAGACAAAACAGACTAGGATTTTGCACCAAGAATGCTGACCAAACTGCAACCAGATGAATTCTTCGCTAAATCATACATGCGTCTGTGCCTCTGGATGAGAGAGCATTTTTAATTGCTGTCCTGGAGGCTTATTGATACACTGTATGTTCAGTATTTAAATGAAATACCACTAAGAGTTTGTAGCAACTTGAAAGAGACAGCACAGTTGCGGTATTTATACCCCTCAATCGTTAAGCGTGCGAGAGACATTGACATTACCTGGGGACTGCTTTCTAACCAATGTCTTTTCCTGTAATTCTTAAGGCATATTTGAAGCCTATCAATCTGTTCTCTGCATTTTAGTGAAGTGATGGTGGCTCGGGTCAGCAGCAGAGTGTTTTAGTGTTCCTTCACTTCTCTCCACTGTCTTTATCCTCCCAGTATTACTACTGACATCCCCTCTTTATCTAATTGTCATCTTCCTTCTTGTTATTACGGCCCACATTCTCAAAGTATCGAGTTTTCTAATTCTTACTAAAATTCACAGGAACCAAGTTCTGAAACAACAACTCAAAAAGATCTAAGTGTGTTGAAGATTTCAGCCTGTGTGTTCAAATAGTGCGTATTCCTGATTTAGTCCTGCAACGGCATTCATGTACGATACGTATTTATTACCTTAATGCTTCCTCTGTTCAAAATCAGGTATCTAGTCCTCAATTATGACAGATGGCATTATTAATTAATTAGAAACGAACCTCTCCCTACTTAAAGCCCTGTATGGATTATGAATCATGTCACACTTACTAGTAAGAAAGGTCTTGAGGAGAAAGCTTTTTCAGATTGTAAATGGACTTCTTTGTCCCTTTTACACAGGGGAAGGTTGGTATATTAGAAGATATGAATTCATGTGTGGAAGAGGAGCTTAGCTTTTAAACTGCAGATTGCAAGATTATAAGTTATGATATTGATATCCTTGAACATATGACTTGGAATGATTCAGTTTCAGATATTTGTTGATTCTTGAGAAGCAGAAAGTATAGGAATATCAATTTTACCTTAATCTTGAAGAAATGCAACATGGCAAGCAGATGGGTTTCACTGTTGATGAAAAGAGAATTCGGAGTCTAACTTATTAGATCAAATTGATTGCTACTTTTTCTCTGTGTGTATATATATGACTGAGATTTGATTAACTGGCTGCTATTGAGATAATCGGCAAAAATTACTAGGTACTAATAGGCAATATATTTAGAACATTTATCTGTGGGCTTGCCAGATGAATTTTAGGGGTTTTGTATAAAGACAAACAGAAGAAACCCTTAGGTTTTGTTTTCCTGGTTTTTGTTTCCTCCTTCTACCTGTAGGTGCCATCACACACAACAGCTCTGATTCTAGAAGTTTAAGATTTAATGCAGTCTCAAAGATTTGCTGAGAGAGTTTTCTCTACTGATAAAGTTAATTAATACTATAATCTTTCTTATGTAACTGCTTGGAAGCTCAGATGAAAGCTTGCATCCAGTGTGGGGGTTCACTGCGATATATATATTTAACTGGCTTGGAAAATGGAAAGAAGTGAATTTTGTGAATTTTTCTTGTTTTGTTCTAATGTGGGTTGGTTTTTTTTTTTTGTTTTTTTTTTTTTTCACTGAAAACTTAACAGATAATTTCCAGTGATATGTGAAATAGTTATTTGGGTCAAATACATGCCTCCATTATCTAGTTAAATTTAATTGTCAGATGGTTGAGTAGGTGTTATGCTGCAGGTAAGAAGTAGTAACACTTAGCGGTTTGTTTGGTGGTTTGGTTTTTTTTCTTTTCCCACCCAGTGAGATGTACAAACTAAGGTGGTTTTTTTTTTTTTTTTGGTTGGTTGGTTTTCTTTTTTTGCAGCATTCAAAGTTAAGATACCTGAAGGATAAGTACTATGGAAGTGCAGCAGTAATTGAAAGGTCAATGGGCAGCTTTGATCAAGAGGGTATGGCTGGCTTGTTATTTACCATGCATTATCCTTAATCCTGTAATAAAGTCCTACGTAGGTGGTGAGTGCTACCTAACAAATGCTCCTCAAAAAGTATGTAAAAACACTTTTTCTCATTTTATTATTTGTAGCAGACCCACATTTGCTCCAGTCACACAAATGTGTTTTTTGCAATTTAATGTAACAGTGAAGAAATCGTGGATTGAGGCATAAGAAAGAGGTGTTTCTGCCAATTACCTATTACATTACTGGCATAGTATTAGCCAAGTGATATATGAATCAGCTTGCTCTAGGCTTTCCTAATTGGCAAAGTGTTTCTAAATGTTCTGCTTGGTTCATACTAGTGGTTCAAATGTGGGAAAGTATGGAGATAATTTAAAGCAACAGCAAAGCCATAATACTACCTCTCTGAAATAATCCTTCGTATTTAATATTTCTGTGGTGCATCAGTTTATTGAATGCTACTCCCAGTTCTATGGAAGGACTGAAGACTTGCAATAGCTGCAAAATACAATACCCAAAAAGGGGGGGGATATGAGCAACCCCAAACTTTTCTCTGGAGAGAAATAAATGAACAGGATCCAAATATTGCTTGGGTCACATCATCTTTTATTGCAGTCTTATGGATTATGATGAAAGTTTCATTATATTCAAAAGCAGTTGTGGAAACTAAGGCCGGGGTGGGGGGGAAACCTCTCCAGTGCTATTTACAAAGACACCATCTGTGGTTTAGGAAGTCTATGAGCCCGAAACTACTGAAGGCTGGGGATATCATCAGTTACTGTTTTGTGTTTATTCTGTTCTTGTACTCTTCTGTAGCCACCTGCTATTAGCTTCCTTCAGAGACAGTATGCTGGGCGAGGTGAAACTTTTGTTCCACTTGACATGTCTGTTCCTATTTAATGGATTGCTGTTTGCTGACTGCAAGCAAAGGGCTAATAAGAGGTTCTCTGCTCCTGGCTTCTCAGTGAGGTTCTCTCCTTCCTTTTGAACAGCATTAAGGTGTCCTGCCTACCAGAATGCTAAGTAATGCCAACACTTCTGCATGCTGTTACTTATTACTTGAAACTGGGGAGAGCTGATGAGGAATGACTTTCAGCCTTATTCCTTAGTCATGGAATTTAAAAAAAAAAAAAAATATTAAAAAAAAAAATTGCATAAGGTTAAGTAAAATTTACGTGTTGGTATGGTATCTCGTAACCAAACATGCACTCCATGTATGTTTCCCTCTGCTTTAGGAATTTCAAAAATTCCACTTTATATCTTCTGAGGAAAACACTTTCTTTTTGTAAAACATTTAGTTGATTGAAGCTGGAAGTATTCCTGAGGCTGGTCAACAGGAGCAGAAACCTTTCTCTAATTTTATTTGAAAACCCATACTGCATCTAATAATGCATCTAAAAATGTCAGTGTGAAGTGATGCATTTGGGGTTTCCTTTTCCGCACAGTCAGCAGACACAGCATCCTCCCGTGCGTATATAGAGCAGTATAAGTTGAGACAAATTCTCATCAGTCAACAAAATACCATGTGACTTCAAACATTTCTTCATCTACTGTGTTGAAACAAGCACAAGGGAAGGCACTCAGCATTACTACTCCTGAGTTTCACCGAGTAGTTACATATGACATGAGGATTGCCTTCAGTCGGAAATCTTGAAGTGCAGCTTTGCTGGGTGGGTCTCTGAAGAATTTGAAAGAGTTCTGTAGATAGGGCGTGTTTACCTTTGTCAAAGTAGCGAGCGTAATGCCTCTTCCCTGCTAATGTGCTTACGTTCTCTTTGACTGCAACATCATAAAGGTAGGAAATTCTTTTTATTTCCTTTTTTTTTCTGTTCAGGTGGGGTTTTTTTTGTTGTTTTGTTTCCCCACTCCCTCCCCCCCATCAGATTATGGTCTGAATTGTTAGCATGTGCTGGTCTCTAACATTGTCTCTTATATAAGGGAAAATTAGAGTAACTTATGATAGTCTTCTGATAAAGAGTGCAATAGGAGTTAATGAGATATTATGTGTTGCCATTAAGTACTCCAACCTACAAGAACTGCTTTTTATTTTAGAGAAAGGTAGTAGAGGTTATAGTATTAGTTTTGCTTTTCTACTTCTTGCATCATTATTCTATTAAGTGCTTGTAAGAGCACTTCTTTCTGAACTGGAAGGGAGGAAAATTTATCAAGAGGAAAAATAATGTTAGCTAATGATGTAAATGTGATTGCATAAAACCCCCTTGAATGTAAGTTGCTTGAAAAAGCTAGTTCTAATTTTCTTCTGTAAAACGCTAAGAAAAAAATCTTCTGTAAGAAATTCAGTTTAACAGAGTTCTTTTTTTTTATAAGACTTACCCGTTGAAGATCTGAAGAAGTGCTATAAATAACACATTTAAACAAGCTGCCAGGAAGGGTTCTCTCAGAGTAGTGCTATAACATTCAGATGGAGCAACCCTGTTCATTTTTTCCTCTTACTTTTTGTAATGTATACCTATTTCTAGCTAGCTTCCTAGTTCGGGTCAAATCTTCAGCTGGGGTGCCGCTGTTGATGAAGAGGCAGTGCTGGTACACATTTAGCTGAAGATCTCTGTCTTGCATTTGTTAGGACATGAAAAGGATGCCAAAGAGTGGCTGCAATAATGAAATACCACTTAAGTTCTGGCTCCTCCTCTAGTTGGCTTTGTGGGTGGAGAACGTCTGGGCAGGTTAAACTGCAAAGGAGGGGATAACCAACAGAACTGAAAACAGCAGAGCATAACAGGCTTGGTTTAATTGCTGGTTTAGGGTGGTGTAGAGATCATTAAAGTCAGCATACACTACGTGTACATGATGGCTGAAGACCCTGTTTTGGGAATCTGCAAATAGGACAGTTTTCCAGAGCACAAGTGCACCAGCCCTCTCCTTTTCCCTAAAGGTCCCTTTCCCTCCCCCCCAAGGGCTCACTTAAACCCCTGAGTCATCCACTGCGCAGGTGGAGAAGCCAACAACCTTTGCCTCTGCACCCTCAGGTCCTCTCTCTAGTTCCTTACTATTCTGTCTGCTGGCTTCATGTGTTTTGTGGCACTGTTGTACTTCTAACAATGTGCTTATCCTGGCCACTATGTACCTGTGTCCTGCTCTATTCTCTGCCCTTAATCCTTATCTTTCAGTGACCAAGGTGGCTTACAGCTCTGGTAAAATCTTCATTATGTAACTTAGCATTTTAAGTTAAACTTCAGGTTTTTATTTCAAATGATATTTTGAAACATTTTTGCTTCTTTGCATCTTTAAGTATGACACTTTTCTTCAAATGTAAAGATTTTTACTTACCTTTAAGCATGTATTAAGAACCTGTAGTTTGGATAGGGCTTTTTTTTTTTTTTTTTTAAAGAACTATTTTTTTTTACCTCAGAATGAATGCAGATATTTGAGTTATTTCACACCTCTTTATCCAGCTCTATCAATGTTACGGATTTATAAAGCTTAAAAGCAGACATAGCTTGCACTGTAACTGTACAGTGTGAGAACTGTATTTCACTTTCCTCAGCTGCCTGCAATCAGCTAAAACCATTTTAGCTGCTCAGAAATTATTTACCTTTAAGTCGAGAGAACATGGTAACTTTCACCCAAAAAATGAATTATTTCAAACAGGTCTGGTTTTCTTCCCCCCGCCCCCAGCCCCCTCAGCGAACAGGGAAAATATAAAACTCACTTGCCACCTTAATTGAGATTTATTCAAAGTGCTATTTTAGCTTGCTACAATATAGTAACCAAGTTACAAGGTAATGTGATAGAATAGTAAAAGAAGTAAAATACTCTAATTGCCCTATAACTAGGCACTTAAACTGTTTACAGGTGAGATTTGTACAAGCTAGGGAGTAAATTTGAAGTTAAAGGTCTCATAGCAATCTTAATTCAGCTGTTTTATGTGTATGGAGTATTTCAGTCTTTCATCGTAAGAACCTCTAAGTCCACCAGCTCTTTTATTCTGTGCTGCCGCGGGCTGTATGTGCAGGCTTTGGTAAGACGTCATTCACGCTGTGGCTCGGGTTGTGTGGAATTTAACTGGAATTGTGTGTTCACATTTGGACAAACAAGATGAGAAAAGACAAGATGCAAAGAGATGGAAGCATCAATCCAATACCCTTCATTCAATTCCCTCCTCCACAAACCATAGTTCAAACCCTTTCTGCCGATTAGGCATGAAACATTGCTCAATCAAATGCTAAGAACAGTGCCAAGAAGCAGGAACAAGCAATGTCTCCAACTGGAAAATACCTACAACTAACAACTGATGCCTGAATGAACGGTTTTGGTTGAAGAAAATGGTGAAGGTCAGGGTTGCTCTTACTGCCTTAGGGACTAACAATTTTTTAGCATAAAAAATTATCAGTGGAGAAGCTAATCTGGTGTCACATCCTGTGATTTCTCAAACTTGCTAGTTGCAAATATGTCCAGAAGATGTATAAAGCAGCTGTATGGCACAATATCAGCTATCAACACTTGCATGAATACTAACCTATTAACAAGTTAGGATTTGTACATGTGGGTTTTTTGGATTGTATTAAAAATCTCTTTTCTGTAATAGTTGGAATTTTTTTAAAAAAGGTCTCTTTTAGGTAGTGCTTCTGCTATCCTCAGTAGGAAAAAGGTTGCATAAGTGTTACAACAAGGTGTAGATCCCATATTTTTTCACCTGTTTTGTGGTGGTGATCGCAGTTGGGATTCTTTAAACAGTATGCTATCTGTTTTTAGCAGAACACAAATCTGCTGCTGAAACTCGTGTTAACTGTTGCATATACTGCTTAGTCTTAAGTAAAATGAAAACCTGTGGTGTGGTAGATCTGATCTTTACTTACTCTTTTAAACTGTTTTGGTTTAATGTTGATGATTAACAGCCTGGAACAGCTTTGCTATCTCTCTTGATATCTGGGAGACGATTTTTCCCAGCAGTCACTGCACCAGCTTTACCAGTTCTACCAAATGATGAGAGAAATAGGAGGATTATGTTATTCTTGCTTTTTGCTGATTTCATT